GGAACCGAACTCACGACCTTGCGCTTGCCAGGCAGGCGCTTTTGCCGCTGAGCTAAATCCCCAGCCCCAGTCTTGCATTTTATAGTAAGAAACTAGCCAAAACCAAGATTTTTATATATAGTATGACCAGGACTTTTGCTCTTACATAAGCTTGTTTAATTATTTTTCCTACCCAAGAGAAGTATAAACCCTTAACGTATGAATTTTTCATTTATATACATAGTGAAGCCCTATTATGGTCATTATATGCTAATCACATTTTATATATTAGTTAATCCATTACTGTAAAAGATAAAATTCCCATCTTACTAATGAGTTTGAAGCTTCACCATGGTTAAGTAATTTGCGCAAGTCACACAGCTAGTGAGTGACAGAGTAAGGATTTCCATCAAAATATGTGTCACTCTAGAGCACTTTTTTGGTCTTTGGTGATGTCATTGCTCCTTCCCAGGTAACTCATTATGCTATTTTTTTAAATGAGTGAACTCTATTCTCACAGGCGCAAATAGTACATAACACAACTCTCTTATAAAGCAAAGAAACGTTTGTATAACTTCATATCACTTTATATCCTAGTATCTATAGAATGATAACATCTGATTATGTAATGTCTGTATCAGTGGTATTACACAGAATGAAGGAAAAATCATGCCTATAATACAGAGATTTTTGGCCCCAGGTTGGCTTATCTGTTAAATATCACACGTGATACTAAAAATGGAACAGCAAGACCTTTATAATTTCTGATTTTCTTTTTTTTTTTTTTTTGGTTTTTCTCTGGTACTAGGAACCGAACTCATGACCTTGCGCTTGCCAGGCAGGCGCTTTGCCTCTGAGCTAAATCCCCAGCCCCTAAAATTTCTGATTTTCAATATTAGTTCAGGATATTTTTGTTTTTAGTGACTTTTCAGGAAGGAAAACAAGGTTCCTGTCAGCAGGTGTGTTATTTTTCTAGAGTTGTGATAACAAAATATTACAAACCGGGTGGCTTAAGCAACAACCTTATCGTATCACAGTTTTAGAGGCTAGAAATCCAACATCAAAGTGTCAGCAGGGTTGGCTTCCTCTCAGGGGTGTGAAGGAGAACCTCCTTGCTGCTGAAAGTTCGTTGGCAGTCTCGGATATTTCTTGGCTTTCAGATGCACCCTGATCTCTGCTTTCATTTTCTCATGGCATCCTTTGTGGATGTCTGTCTGTCTCTGTGTCTAGCTTTCCCTATTTATGCATTCACCTGTTATATTACATGAGTGTCCACCCTAATGAGTTCATCTTAACTTGATCACTGGCAGAGACCCTGTTTCCAAAACTGGTTCATTCACAGGAACTCGAGTTAGAACATCAGCATCTTTTGGGGAATACAATTCAACCCATAACAAAAGGCCCTTTTGGGGAGATAGCATATTTGAAATTTCTTTAGCATGTGTTACACACATAGATTTGAGTGTGTTAAACTTTTGTATAATTATATGAATGTTTTTCCATAAATGTATGAATAGTTGTTTTAGAAGAGGACTTATTTTGCACTTGTTTATTCTTATGAAAATTGTTGGAGGAACAAACTGGGTAATTGTTGAGAATAGTTTTTAATAAATTAAACATGATTGACTATTAAAATATGAGGGGTAGGTAAGATCATGGTAGCTGGTGGTCTGATGAGGCTGGGATTTCCAGAGGCATTTGGGGCAAACAGATATTGCAGAGGAAGATGGAGTGTGGTGGATGTCTTGATGTAGGAATAATTATGTTGTGCCCGTTGGGCTGTGGTGGTGGTGAAGGGGGCTTTATGGCCAATTATGTTGTCAAGGACTCTGGCTCAGGCCCCTTGAAACAGTTAAAGTCAGTTTTAACTGTTAAGCTTCAAGACATTGCTGGAGGGTTTATTTTTAATTTTATTCTGTAGATATCTGGAAAATATCAACAAAGAAAAAAACATGACCCGTAGCTCTACTCCTCAGAGCTAGTCGTTATTACTACAGTATTTTGGCATGTCGGTAGAATGCTTGTGAAGTTCCTTCTGTATTTTCCATTGAGTTTATATCACATAGAGAGTTTTCTAAAATAAATTAAATACGTAATATTCTCCGAATGTGTATTGAAATGTGATACCTGCTGAATAACAGACCTGATGGTTTTTGGCGATGACCTGGGTCAGTGTACAGTGCTAGGCTAGTTTTGTCTCATGTGACCAGATCCTTTGCTTTGATTCTTGTCCCCCCCCCCCCCCCCCGTGGTGCTGCAGCCAAGATCCTTTTAATGACTGTGTCATTCTCCTGGCTTAGCTCTTTAGCAAGGATTAGAGTCCAGCTTTCATCCTCTCAGGCACCTCTGCAATCTTTTTTTGCATTTTTTCTTCTCATTTTTTACTTTCCCCAAAACTACTTGAAGTTCTCAGGAAATTGTGTACCCTTTTGCACCTCCGTAAGTTTTTCATTTCTTTCTTTCACTTAGAAAGAAATCCCCATTCTTTTCTTGTGCATCTATCTAGCAGTTCCTCATCCCACCGCACACCCCTGGTACTGAGGATTGAACCCAGGCCTTCACACCTAGCCACATCCCCAGCCCTTCTTTTGCTTTCTATGTTGAGGTAGGGTCTTGCTCAATTGCCCATGCTGAGTTCAGACTTGTAAACTTCCTACCTCAGCTTTCCGGAGAACCGGGATGACAGGCATGTGCTACTGCCAGCTTTATTCTTTAGCGCTTATCCGAAACGACATTTCCTTTCCATAAGCTTTATTCTAAGCTGTGTTTTCTTTCCTTTTAGTATACATAGCACTTTCTATAAAACTTGCTATAGAACTGATTCTAGGGTATCATAGTGGCCAATTTCTCTCTGTTTTTTTCTTATTAGACTGCCATTTAAGAGTGTTTCTAGGCATTTTAGATGTAGGAAATTAAAATGAAGAGGAACTTTAGGAATTTGTAGCTTAGTGGAGGTCACATAGATTTTGTAAGCGGGTGGGTGAGGGTGTTAAGGAACTTCTGTGGTAAGGAGTTATTCTGAGAATATACCTGAATGAGCCATTAGCGTGGAATGGTGACTGGCAGTGTATGTCCAGTGCTTCAAGGTTAACCAAGTGTGTTTGTTTACAGGTGGCAGTAGCTCGAATCACAGCTTGTAGCAGATGTTCTCAATATTTCTGTTGAAATTTCCTGATCTCTACCTGCAAGAGGAGCCTCAGAGCTTCATCTTGGTGGTACCTGTCATCATTGGTATGAGGCTATACTTTCCCACCCATGCTTCCTGTTCTAGCGCAGCAGCTGGGTTAGAATTGAGCTGTTTGTTTCACAAATAACTCGGGAGAACTGAAGGAAAAATGTCTCAGTAATATCAAAACTGTGACTTATTTGAGCTTGCGTATTATGCCTTGTTATTTTTATACCTCTTTGTGGAAACTTCAGAGAAGTCCTTGCTTATTATAAGGTCTTAGCATTGTGGTTCTGCTTGAATTTTATTGTCATCCACTGCTTCTATTGATTTTTAAGTTTTGGTCTAATTTCTTATTTTCTTAAATAATAAAGAGGCTCCTAAAATTATTTTTACTTATAAACAATGTATTTCAGTCATATTTAATTGGCTCTTCAACTCCCATGAGAGAGATCGAACTAGAAATGAATAACATTCCATCTCGACAATCAGTAGAAACAACACAAAATCTCTGTATTAACAGAAATGTGTGCTGTTGCTAGTAACTGAAGTATTTTTTCTTCATATAAAGTGGGAGTATTTTTCAGAATTCTGGGAAATGTCAAAGTAATTTTGGCTGTAGTCATACTGCATTTAATGCTATTGAGAATATTGCTAACATTAACAAAAATATTCTGTAACTTCCACTGTTATTGCTACTGGTGATGAGGGATATAAACTTGGCATGCGTTCATGCTTTGCGCATTATCATTATGCATTTCTGATTTCACATGTCAGAAACAATCTTTATTTTTGTTAAGACAGCTGAGAACATTTTTAGTTAGGGGTAGAGGTCAGGCTCTGATTACTTGCATATCAGTGATATATAGAATACAATGAGTGTATAGGAGTAAAAACATATAGATCTTTTTATAGAAGTATTACAGAGTACTTGCATGTTTTGTGAGTTTTTTAATTTTCATTTTTAAAATTTAATCAGCATACAATGATTTTGGGCCAAAGACAGGTTTAATTTCTGTATTGATTATTCTATTTTGTTATTTTCTGTGACCACTGGTAACACTCATCTTGCAGATGTAAGCTGTTGTTCAGCAGGGAGCTTTGGGAAGAGAATTGGCTGGATCAACAAGTCTATCTTCACTGTAGAAAAACAATTTGAAGCTCATCTTTATTGATGGTGAGTCGGTGTCATCTTCATACATGACTGATCATATTATTGTTTTATGTTTGTAGTGTTATGAAACAACAATTTGGTTTAAATTTTGCTTTATGAGAGATTACTGGGATGTTGAACTATGATGCTTCCCTACTGCAGTCTAAAGGACAGCACAGAAATCAGCCTAACAATGAAATAGAATGGAAGTAATGATTTGTTGTTTCTGAATATACTTAAAAGCATGCTTTTTTTTTTTTGATGAGTTCTCATGTTGCTCAGATTCGTCTCAAACTCTTGGGCTCCAGCCATCCTCCTGTCTTAGCCTCCTGAGTAACTAGGAATTCAGGTGCCTGTCACCAACCAAGCAAAAGCTGGTTCCCTGTAATGCATACTAACTGATAATTCGTGACGCTTATTTGAATGAATATTAACAAAGAAAAAAACCACAAATTGATTGCATATGTTGTACGCTTATTTTAAAATATATTATTGATTTCAGGAATTTTAGGAGAAGTGCAATGTCATGTACAGACTGTCTCCCATTCTCAAACAAAATTATTTGGTTAATTCAACTAGCATCTCTTGGTGATGCTTGTCACAGGCTGCTGTTACAGAAATGCAGTGGAGGACTCCATATGTTTAATACTATTACAAGGATCAGTAGTGTATTTACATAACAATTTGTAGTTCAGATGGATGTAATTTAACAATCATAGCTTCATTTTGCTGAATTAATATATTTGTGATTGAATCCAGTCTTTCTTACCTAATCATAAAATACGTGTATGTTTGAGCATATATGTGTGTGTATATATATCTGAACATATATGAGTAACTTGATACAAGTGCTGATGTTGCTTCTGTCTTTTTATTCTAGTTACTTTCACTTGACTCCTCATAATTGTCCAATTACAAGGTAAATTTTCTTTTATAGTCTTGCTTTGCTAGTGTTCTGTCTTTTTTCCCCCCAAACATCAATTTTATTGTGTATGTTTGAAGTTTACACCATGATATTATGGGATTCATATAGATAGTGAAATGGTTGCTATAGTGAAGTAAATTAATATATATAGAACATGCAGTCACAAAATTACTTTTGTGTTAGAAGAACAGCTAAAATTTACTTATATAACAGAAATCTGAAACACAGTATACTTTTGTTAACTATAGCCTTCATGTTTTATCTAAAGTTTCTACATTTGTTCATCCTGTATATCTGCTACTTTGTGTCTATGACATCTTTCCATTTCCTCTCCCCAGCACCCATCACCATATTCTTATTCTCTAGCTCTGTATAGTTTTTAAAAAAAAATTTTAAAGAAAGATTCTTCGTGTATGTGAGACCATGTAGTACTTTTCTTCTGTGTCTGCATCTTGACTATTGTGAACAATAATGTAATGCATATGAGAGTATAGATACCTTTATGAGGTGGTGGTTTCATTGATGTTAGGTATGTATCCAGAAGGAAGTTTCTTGAATTGTATATATCTCTCTTTAATTTCTTTTTCTTTAGCTCTTTTTAATTTCCTTAGAAATTTCTATGTTGTTTTCCATAAAAATTATTCATTTCAAAAATAGTTATTATCTTTTAGTTGTTCTTCTCTGTAGTATAAATAAATCCTGAGGTCAAAGATTGGTAAAAGTGATGTTCGGTGAAGCCCAACCTACTTTTAGATATGAAGATGTACATGTAGACATTATGTGATTATAACCAGCCCAAGCATCTGTGCTAAATGTTTCTGAAAAGACAAGGAAGTGAAAGAAGAGTAGTATGGAGAATGGTTTTGATAAAAAAAAAAATGCTGTTTGGAGAAAAGTTGGTGGCTGAACAATTTTCTTTTCTTCACAAAAGAATTTCAGTATAACAATTGCAAACATACCTGCTCCCAACTTCACAAAACAAGTATTACTGTTCATAAAAGATCAGATAAACATTGACACAGTTATAATGGGGGACCTCAATATCCTACTATCACAAAACACACAAACCAGGTAGACAAAAAAATCAACAAAGAAATATCAGAGTTGAATCATACCTTTGAACAAATGGGTGTGAGAAATTCAAAATATAAGTAAAGAACAAAATAAAAGATACTGGGTGGGAAATAGTGAGCTAGTTCCCTTGCAAAAGGGAAGGAGACCAAGAGAAGAAGTGAGGAGAGAGGGAGGAGAAGGGAAGAGGATTAAAAAAATGAATGAAGATCTATTATGTACAGGTACCAATAGCTCACGAGGACTGTAGTCATTATGTACTGCACATATGTACTAGTTAAAAAAGATCTCAGTATTCCTATAGTAAGACAAGACTCTCCTGTTTGTAATTGGTAAGTATAACTGGATACATTTTTCAGAATATTTTTCCTCAAAAACATTATTTTTAGAGGATTTGACTGCATTATTATTATCATCATTTTCCCAATGACTCTACTTCAAACCTTCTCCGCGGTGCTAGGCTTTTGGTACTTCTTTAATATTATAATGAAGTAAATCAGAAAATATTTAATGTATAATTTTGAGTTTATAATGCCTAGCATAATTTTACTATATTATGGTAATAAAATTTCGTTGTTGAGTAACATTTGCTCAGTTTTATTCTAAGTTCTTTCTGTATTTCATTCTATCTTCCCAGTTATCACATAAAATGGGAATAATTCCCCAGTGTCTGTGGGTGAGGAAAGTAAGACTCAGACAGTTAGTTACGTAAGGCCGGTACCTGCCTTAGAATTCAAACTAAACTACTAACCGCCGAGCTCCTGCTTGTATATGCTGTGTTGAGCTGTGTGAAGTGTATTTTCTCCCTCAGTGCTGGAGATTGAACCCAGGGCTTTGTGTATGCTAAGCAGCCATTCTACCACTGATCTACATTGTCCCCACTTGCAGCTCTTTTGTATGTGACTACAGATGGGCCACTTCACTCTTGAAGACTAGTCTAGCTAGTTCAAAATGACTTTGTACTGTAACACTTTTGATTGTGCACCACCAAAAGGTATCCAAGCCAAAACATTTGCTTTATTAACATTGTGTGGATGTAACTTTTGACAGTCTTTTGTTATATTAGGTAGTATACTTAGCGATATGTGTGTATAATATGCACATGTCACACATATGCTTTAAGTGGAATATTGGTGGTGCTTCTTTGGCAAATTTAGCTGGTGTATCTTAAATGTCTCTGCTGCTCTCAGGTAGTAGAATTGCTATTTTATTCTTGTTTTCTAGTGGCTGAGATCTTGGTTCTAGGGGAGTACTTGCATATAAACATGAAATATGTCATCTAAAATGGTGGTATTAGTTATCTAACAAAATGTGAAGCATTACTTTGACCATTGTTGAGGAAAACCAACATATATAAATATTCTAACTTTAGAGAAGCCTATGTTTCAGTGATTTTTGTATTAAAAATCCTTTAATGATTTCTCTTGTTTATAAAAGATGGATATTATCATGGTTAGGCTACACACAAGGTCTTCTATTCTTGGGCCATTGCACTGTTTCAGACTTACTCTGGCAGTCAATATCACGGACCCTCCTTACGTGTAAATTCCGTTTAAACCAAATGGCTTGTGCTCCTGCTACCATGATAGGCTGTTTTTCACTTTTATCCTCATTTATATTTTCCTTCTGATCATTGTGGTCTCCACTCTTTGCCGTCCTGGTAAACACCACCTTTTCATGTGAGATTTAGCTTTATTAACTCTTTGAACCCTTTTTTGGTAACTGATCTCTGTCACTGAGGCTTTGTAGCACATGAGTCTACTGCAGAGCCTGTATCTCACTGCTTTTATTTGTATGCCTCTTTCTTACTGGTCTATAGACACTTTAAGGGCAAATGTAGCCAAGCATGGTGGTACATGCCTGAATCCCAGCACTCTGGCAGGCTGACTCGAAAGAGGAAGTCTAGCCCATCTTGGGCAACTTAGTGACTTAGCAAGACCCTGTCTCAAAATAAAAAATAAAAAGGGGATGGGGACACACTTCAGCGCAGAGGTCCTGGGTTCAATCCCCAGACTCCCTCCCCACAAAATGCAAGTGCAAAGGCTGCACATTTAATGCACTTTTGTGTACCTAGTTTTTAGCACAACCCTTGAATTAATAAACACTTGCTAAATGAATGAATAGTTCATTTCTCTAGGAAAGTAAAGGTGATTTTGGCAATCGGTGTGGTAGTGGAGGTAAAGTGAATTCCGTGGTGGAGTACTTCTGTACTGACTGTACAAAAATGTATCTTTCCCAGGTCTCACCACATTCATACTAGCTTCTCGGAGTCAATGTGCAGTGTGTGTCTAGAGTTTCATTACCTTGAACAACCAGACATTTACTAGATTTTAGTAATCAGTATAATAGATCTTAGCTCTGTTATTTTCCTTAGGGATATCTACATGTACTCTGGTGTTATGAAATCCATTTAATGTTAGGAAAAATCCTTCTACTTAAAAATTATAGAAAGGAAATAAACGATGAGTCCGTTTGTTATCCCATTGAAAGTTCAGTAATTTAAATCTAATTCTCATGCCATGCAATCCTGATTAAAGGCTTAGTAGGGCAAGTATTACTAGAATGACACATTTTTACATGGTTCAGTCATTTTACATTTTCTAAAAACTCATTTATCGTATTACCCCTTTAGTAATATGCCAAGCTTTTAGTTGTTTTTCAAAATTTTGTCTGTTCATAATTTTATATTATGTAATACTATATTGTAATAATTAGTATATACTAATAATATATTATATAATATAGACTATATTGTATTATAATAGTATAATAATTAGAGGTTAAATGTACCTTCACGATCAGGTTACAGTATAGTTTCATCTGAGGAAATACTATACAATGGAGATATTATGAAGAAGGTCAAGGTTTCTAAAATCAACTAGATTCTGTTAAATGATGCTTTTGTTCTATTTTACATAGAAATTACGTGGATACACAGAATTAAAATGAGCTATGTCGAATAGCATTTCCACTAAATATGTAAAATGGGGAGAGATTTCTGTTATTAAAAGGAATAAAATTTTCCTTGTTTAAGCTATAGGTAGTAAGACTTAATTTTTTTGAAAGACATTACATACTTTGGTCATTTGATTTGTAAATTCTTTAGCTTATTTAATAGTCAAAAAGTTCCAAGTAAATATGTGTGATTTAATTTGTGCTGCTGAGAAACAGTGATCAAAAATGGCAATAAAAGTCACATAGTGAAATAAGAATGCTAAAAAAAAGCCAAGGATTTTACTGTGGTCCATTATTCATTCAATTTCTGGCAGCCTTTATGATTACAAATCACTTGATGGACTAACTAGATGTTTTCAAAGTGAGTTATGAATCAGGCTCATTTTTCCTGGTTGATAGTTGGCACACGCTGTAACTCTTCCACTTTGTGATATATCAGATTCTTGAACAGTAGTGAGAAAAATAATCAACGCTTTCTTGCAGGAAAGCCCGTTGCCTTTCCATAAAACGGAATGCAGTTGGTAATGTTTTAACAGCACACTGTAATTTCTGTCTTCGGATTTCAGTGTGGGATCCACAGTGATGGCATTTTTCAGAGCACCTAAAGAAATCTTTAGAATGAGTTTCTAACAGGCATAGAACTTGCGTGGATACTGGTTCTATAGGCTGCTTGGGAAGCTGGGTGATTAAAAGAAGTTATATTTTCTTTCCTTAGCATGAAACATACATGATGAAAAACTTGTATATTTTAAGAAAATTTTCTCTAAAGAAAAATATAGTTTTTCCTAAATGTCTTATTTATAATGAGGTCCCGATATGGCAAACTTAACAATGTGGAGCGTTCTAATGGCTCCTGAGAGGAAGGGTCTCTTTTTTGGGTAGAGAAAGATCCATAGTGGTCTGAATCTTGAGTCTTTCCATTTGCAAAACTGAATCACAAGGGCCAACTCCATTTTAAAATGTGTTTATTCTCTTTCGGCTGAATAGGGTTTCTCTCAGTGTGCTACTGTAACTGAATGATAGAAAGTTTTTCTTAAAGCAATTGCATTTTCTTTAATCCTATCCACTCAAACAATTGAAAACAAAATGGGTTTATAGGCTCTAATTTAGCGACAAATTTTGGGGCTCTGGATATAGCTCAGTGATAGGGCACTTGTCTCACATGTGTGTGAGGCTCTGATTCAATAACCACCAACGGCACCAAAAAAGAAAAAAAAAAGACAACAAAACAGTTGTTTGGTGTACTGTAACTTAGAATATTTTTGACTTACTAAAGAAATGTTTTGTTTTGAAATTTTTGTTGTTTTGTCTTTGATCCATTGTGTGTTAATTTCTGTATGTGGTGTGAAATAAAGGTCTAACTTCATCTTCTGACATGCAGATAACTAATTTTCTTAGAAGCATTTATTAGAAGCCTATCTTTTCTCTAGTGAATTTCTTTGGTAACTTTCTAGAAAGTGAGCTGACCCAGTATAAGGGTTTGTTTCTGGACTCTCAATTGTATTTCAGTGATCTTTATGTCTTTCTGTCAATACCTCATTGTGTTGATTACTGCAGTTTTATATTAAGTTTTGAAATCGGGAAATGTAAGTTTTAAATTGGGAAATTTAATATATTTTGTTATCTTTTTTCAGAATTGTTTTGTCATTTTAGGTCTTTTGCAGTTCCACAGAAGTTTTGGTATCATCTTGTCAAGTTCTGCCAAAAGTCTGCTGAGGTTTTGGGAGAATCAATGAACCAATCAGGGGAAAGAATCCTTTGTAACAATATAAACTTCCTACTCCATGACACTGGTGTCTGACTTCCTTTTGAAGGTAATCGGTCTCTTTTCTACTCCTATGGATGCTTTTAAAGACTTCCTTTTTGCTTTCAGTTTTAAACAGGCTTAAGATTATGTCTTTGGGTGTAGACTTCCTTTTATTTATACTGCTTCGCAATTTGATGCTTCTTGAATATGTGAATGAATGTCTTTCATGAGTTCTGGGAATTTCATTTCTTCAAACATCGTTTTTCTCTGAATGTAAAATACTATCAATTATAAGATGCATGTTTGCACCATTTATAGAACACTAGAAGACAATACTACAAATGTCTTAATAATGTTGCTATGGAATTACTAGTGTGTGTGTGTGTGTGTGTGTGTGTGTGTGTGTGTGTGTGCTGGGGTTGGACCCAGGATCTTGAGTTACCACTGAGCTATATTCACCCCTAATCCAGTACTCTGTAATATATGAATTTATCATGAATTTGGTAAATAATTCCTCAGTTGCATTGCTTGGCATATATGTATCTCTATAAGAACAAATAGCACAATTTCTTTTCTTTCTGTCTTCTAAATTTAGGTCTTCTAAATATTTAGTTATTTGTTTTGCAAGAATCTAATGATCACTCAGTTGTGGCCATTATTTCAGTTATTTATTATTGCTTCAGGAATGTCAGGCTGTGTGTTCCTCTGCTTTCACTTTGAACAGACTTCTACGGATTATAGTACACATCTCAATAGCTGCCATTGTTTGAATGTGTCTGCTAGAGTTCATGTGTTGGAAACTTAACCCCCAAGGCAACAATGTAACGAGTGGGACCCTTAAAACATGATGAGGTCACAGTGTCATTAGTGCCCTTACCTTGCGAGTGGGTTAGTTATTGAGAGACTGGGCCTTTTATACAAGCAAGTCTGCCCCATCTTACCCTCTCTCTTGCTGTCTTCCCTGCTGCCATGGAGCAACATAGTAGGGAGGCCCTTGCCAGATGGAGGGCTCTTGACCTTGGACTTACCAGCATCCACAATTGCAGTAAATTACCTGGTCAGTGGTGTTCCAGTACAGCAACAAAATGGATCAACACTATAACTTCTCAATGTTAATACATAGCTTTTAAGGAGATTTTAAACAATAATTAAACTCGACGTATCTACTACTGCTGGTGCACATAATTCAGTTGAAATGAGGACAACATAAACAGCACAAATGCAGGTAACATACATGAAGCATGTTCCTCCCTATTCAAAAGGGGGTATCTGGGGTTAGGTATTTAGCTCAGCGTCACAGCGCCTGCCCAGCAAGCTCAAGGTCGTGAGTTCAATTCCTGGAACCAGAAAACAAAACAAAAGAAACAAACAAACAAACAAAAAATCAAAAGGGGCTATCCAAGCTTGATTCTTCATTTTTTTTCCCAAGGCACATTCACCCATATGTCTCCAAACACCCCTTTTGCCTATTTATAAAACCAGTGATAACAGTAATACATAATTTTGGAAATGGCACCAGTGATGATTTTAAAACATTCAGAATAAATGACCACATAGAAATTTATGAAGTTAATCGACATCCCCGTGTGCATTTGTGGTCATGATGAATATTCTAGAAACGAAGTGATCCTCTTTTTTTTGATCTACATGGTAGGCTTCCCAGAAAAATCTCATCACTGGCTAATCTGCAAAGGTCTCCTTGGAATTCTTGTGGTGCAGGCCTGCTGGTAAGTAAGTTGCTTTATTTTTTCTTCTCTGTCTCTTTCTATTCCTTATTTTTTAACAGGTTTATTCGGTTGTATATTAACATTATTTTAAAAGTTCATGTTCTTTTGAAAAGAAGGGAAACTGTTAGAGTGGGGGGCAGGGAAGGGAGAAAAAGGGGGAGGAAGGTAATAGGGAAAACAATCCAAATATGTTACATGCACGTACAAATATGCCAAGAGGAAACCCACTACTGTGTGGAGCTAATATACATCAATAAAAATGAAAATAAATGAACAAACAATAAAACAAAAAATTTCACATTGTCATGTTGTGTGCTGATCATTTACATTTTCTCTAATGTATTCTAGAAGGAAATTCTCTTAGGAATTGTTTCCATTTTAATTTGCCTTTTAAATTCTTTTACAAGAACAGATATTAAGATTTTCCTTAATATGTGTATTTTTATATCATTTACTTTTCTTTTGTTTCTTTTTTTTTTTTTGTACCAGGGATTGAATTCAGGACCTTGTGCTTGCTAGGCAGGTGCTTGTGCCGCTGAGCCATACCCCAGCCCTATCTTTCCCTCTTTCTCTTATGTCTTTCTTTACTTATTCTTTCATAATAACTATGTCACAGATATCCTCAAGGAGAGATCTCTGTCATAAATAAAAGTGTAAGATGAGACTTCATCCTTTAATTTTTCTCTAATGAGTCTCTCAGTTAGAGGATGTCTTTCTAAACTCTTGCTCTGGGAACATATGAGTTAACTTCTCTTAAATTACTTTCTGCTCTGCACATGTCTACTTAGTCTTTCAGAAAAGATGTTGCTTCAAAGTTGCAAACTACCTCAACTCTGATAGGGTCCTTCTTTAAAATCTATGTTTTATGCCCCAAAGTTTTGACTTTTGGACACACAGTGACAATAGAAGACTGAGAGCTAGGTGAATCCCACTTGGGAATAATCTTCCATGTAATGTTCCCAATTTATTTTTTACCAAATTCTTTTACTAATGCATGGTTTTCTTTTAATGTTAAATTAAGGCAGGCTTTATTTTATTATTTGTTGTATTGACCTTATTGGAAATTCTTAATTCTACTTGTTGAGTGAATAATACTTTATCTTAAGAAAGATCTATGTGTGAAGGAGACTCATTTGGTAGGAAAAATTAAGTATTTCATTAGAAGACCAAGAATGCTATGTTCACTGTATTATTTTTTATCCAAATGACCTTGGATATATCAGTTAACCTTTTCTTATCTTAGCTTTCTCATATGTAAAATAGAAATGATAAGATCACTTCACAGAGTTACTCTGACATGCAAATGGGGGAATATGGGTGAAGGTGGCTTACAGACTACAGAGGGTGTCCCGTATTACAGTTCTAAGGGCTCGCATGTCCTTTTACTTGTATTCTTGCTAAATTGCTTTTATAGACTGTGTTTTGAGAGGCAGTAAAGTGAAGTCACATTGCTTCAGGTCAAATTCCTCCTCTTCCTTTTACTAGAGGTGTGACCTACCTCTCTTGACTTCACTTTCTTCCTCCATAAAATGAGAATGACAATAATGTACATCTCATTGGGCGACTGTGAAGATTAAACCTGCAAATCCCTGTGAGGCGCTTCCAGCAGTGTCAACACATTCAACAAATGTAACTCATCACCACTGCCACCGTCTCCATTGCCATCCTCCCAGTCCTGAGATTTAAAAAGGGAACTCATTTCCCAAGTTAAAAACTCATATTTAGTACTTGTCAAGTGGTTTCTTTTTTTTTTCCCCCCCTTTGGTACCAGGAATCGAACTCATGACCTTGCGCTTGTCAGGCAGGTGCTGTACCACTGAGCTAAATCCCCAGCCCCCTGTCAAGTGGTTTCAAAGCAATTTAATTTAACTTTTCTTTAGTGGTGAATATATATGTACATGCAATGATATAGCTTTCTTAATTTGGAACTCAGGAGAACTCATGGGTTAGGCATGTAGCTCAGTGGTTGAGCTTTTGTCTAGTGTCTGTGATGTTCTGGGTTTGACCCCAGCCCTGCAAAAATGAAAAACAAAAAGCAAAACCACCTTCTTATTCACATTTTACTTATTTATAAAAGTAGTTATTCTTGATAAGTTGTGTGCATATAGCATTTTGGCAAATTTAACTATGTGCTGAGTACAGTAAGCAAATCAACTCCAAAAAATCAGTCTCGAAAAACAAATGACCTTTTGAAAAGTGATCATTCACTGTTTTATTCCTTTTCAAGATACATTTTTCACAGTTTAAAAAAGAAATATGTTTATCCTTGTGCACAATAATAATTTGTGGGAATTAATTAATTAATCGATTTTAAAGGAATCATCAAAATGATCAAAGCAGCAGCCTTGGGGATTAATTCAAACATGCTGGAGATAATGGATTTAATCAAGTACTTCTTCAGGTAAATGCCTAGTGTAACGTTAAATTCTGATTAAAACAAAGATGGGTTTTCAAAACGTGAATAACTAAAAGATGGTATGATTTTTGTTGTATACTGATAAATTTTGTGAGATCTAGGGCATTGTAGCAGTAGTGATTAACTTTTAATGTTCAGGTTAAACATTAATGCTTTTTCTCTCTTTAGTATAAGCTTTGGCTTACACCACTCACAGCTCAAGTTCAATTGCTTTCACATTTTTTGTGTTAATACTTTGGTGAAGTGCACAACATGAAAGTGAATTAAATGATTGATGATTGCTACATAATCCAACCCTGATTTCAACGAGTCAAAATGTTACGGGTTTGGCTTAACTAAAAGCAGAGTCTGAGGCTCATGGTTTCTGTGACAACTCAAGGTCAGGTGACCTGGATGTGTCTTGCCAAACTGTTCCTGTGGAATAAATAGGCTATTTGTAAACAGGATGGCGGAACATTCTCTCACAAGATTTCAAGTTCACAGAGTAGGAGACAGCTGGGCCGAGGGTCAAAGGGGAAAGGTAATAAGCCATTTTGGGCCTGTTCTTTTGTGGAGATTTTGGCTGCCTTTCAGACTGAGGTCTTGGAAATAGTTCACACAAAGGCCTTCTGCCAACAGACTACTGAGAGTTGGCTCAGGCAAGATTCTATTGCAAAATCCTCTCTCTTTCTTTCTCTCTATGTCTTAGTGTCTGAAACTTTATAAAAATGCAAGGAGTTTTATGAAAATGAAGCCTATGAGTGAAACAACAAAATAAATTTATGTACTACATAAAATAAATTTAGAGCTATTCCCTTCAAGGACAGAGGTCTAAAACTTGAATTCATTATAGTAAATTAATTGCCAAATACACATTTAAAAAAAGTATATTAAAGGAACAAAGAAGATTAAAAATATTGGCAAAAAACCCTTGGGTCAACTATATGCTTTGAAAGAGGCAGTTATTTCTGTTCTACCTAAGCCACCAGAGGTTGTCTTTATGACCTATCTGCTGACATATTTTAGTTCAGGTGCTCATTCAGTAGTGTATGTTATGATATTTGTTGTACATTGTGAAGATAAAAGGTAAAATTAGGCTTCCTCAACATTGCTTGTGTTTCTTTAGAGTTATCACGGTTGTTACTCTTGTTTAGAGTAAGAATTCATTTTAGGAGTAGAAAAAAAAAAAAGACAATGTTAGATTTCCCTTCTCTGACATTAGAATCTGGCTTCTAAGGCCAGCTTTAGTTACATGGCTATTACATCTGTCTCTCTTATTAGTTGTTCTCCAATTTCTATGCCACTGTAGGGTTAAGACTATCTTGTTCAGTTTGGGTACATCTTCATCCTTAGATATTTAATATTTTTTGTCAATAAATATGTGAGGAATTAGAATTTTTTTTTTGGTCCTGGGAACCCATGGCCTTTGCGCTGTGCTACATCCCCAGCCCATCTTATTTTGTTGTAATTAATTAACTTATTTATTTACAGGGTCTCACAAAGTTGCAAAATTGTGCCAGTTGGGCTCAACTTGTGATCCTCCAGAGGATCTGGGATTACAGGCCTCTGCTGCCATGTTTATCTTATAAATTCTACAAGTAGAAAAAGGTGAGGTGAAGAACAATACAAAGATAGTAAAGGAATCATTCCCAAACAAAAAAAATGCAAGTCATTAGGTACTTTAACTGTAATACACCTCTTTGTGATGGTAGCAATTTCAAAGAAACCACTCTATTAAATGGAAAAATAAAACATTTCCTTGGAAAATTTATTTCTGAAAGAGGAACCAAAGCATGCAGTTTGACTCATCACTGGTGAGACCTGAACTTTCATTATTTTTCTTAACTGATAGGGGGAGGCATGGGAAGGAAGGGATTTCTCAGTGTGTTTCACAATGTCTGAGTAAGCGCACTCATTTTGACTTTCAAACAGAATTTTCCGATGATATTTTAGTGATAGGTGGTGGAGTTGTTGTTTATTTCCTCCAGTAAATTCTAAAATAAAAGGATTTCTATGAAGTTTGAAAAGTCATTTACCTCTCACATTTTTTTTTTTTTCTCTGGTACCGGGAACCGAACTCACGACCTTGCGCTTGCCAGGCAGGCGCTTTGCCGCTGTACCTCTCACATTTTTTTAAACTTTTGATACCATAAACACTGCTGTGGTATGAGATGTATGTACAGTGTTGGTAAATAGGGTTCTTTTCTGTTTTTCTTTTAAATACAGATAAGTTCCTTTTCCTTCATTTATTATCTTCCAATTTAGTAGAATGTGTTTGGCAATTAGAAAATGGCGAACTTCAAGATAATATATTTAAAAAGTTTGGATATTTACTTTCTTTTCCTGTGCAAAAGTTCTTGAAACTTGAAAAAATATTTACTACTTAAAAAAAATTTAGATGTGCAACCTTGTGCAAGTCACTGAGCTTCTGTTATATCTGTTCTCTTTTACATTAATTGAAGAGCAGAACCTTAAAAGTTTCTCCCAGGTCCAAATTATCATGCATCTGACCAAAGCTTGCTTTTAGTGGTATAGAACTCTGCTACCAAATTCAGTACCTCCATCATTTTTTCTCAGTGAATGCAATGTTGGAAAGTAAATCAGG